AATATAGTCACTTGAGAGAATGACTTTTATTCATAAAGATGATTTGTGATGCAAAATGGCAGCTCCCAGTCCTAACGTAAAATAAATTTACTTGTATACTTAAATATGGTTTTATGTCACTAACATCACGGACACACAGAATAGTAAGGAAACTGTGATCGAGTGACAGAAAACATGATAAACATGATAAGTAATTTGATGTTTAAGTCAATGAATTAACATCTGCCCCAACACTAAACTGATAATCTGAAGTGCGTTTAGTCCCTGGTCTGAAAAGAATAAACTTATATTTCTTATAAAATTGTTGAAGAATGGTACCTTGGATATATTATTACACCCATCAATTAATAAAAAACAAGATGACAAGTAGAGAAAACATGATTCATAGTATATTTGGAAATTTTTCAAACAGTTAAATTCTTTCTCCTTGAAAATTGTTATTGGCTAAGCAAGTATAGGCTATTGAGTCCTAAACATCAATTTCCCATGACCATGTCAGAGTTTGAACTCAAGATCTTCGGGTCCATTAGTGAGTTTGTTATCTTCTTAGTACTTATTACAAATTTTACAGACCATATGCTTGGGAACTGCATTCCATCTAAATATCATTATTCCTTTTTGGTGACATATTTAATGATAGTTAACTAATTTATATTTTTTATATAGAAAAAATAGGCTTTGATAAATGTGACTATATCAATGACATAAAAAAATATTTGCAGTGATTATGTGTATCAAGATTTTATTTCCCTCATACGGTACATCAATTTTCATGTTTACTTTCTAATTGTAACGGAATCGATGTAAGGTGCAAAGCTAAAGAAACTACTTACTATAAATATTTATTGTTAACATAATTAGATATTATATGTATGTAATTATTGGGTATAAGTGAGTAAACAACAAGAGTATTCACTGTTTGTTTAGTTAATTCTATATTTTACCCTCAACAGTTCACGAAACCCACCTAAAGAATCAGTTGTTCAGTTTGTCTAATCTATAAAACATTTACAGGACTGATTACATTCTAACGCGATATATTTTAGCCAGAAATTATGAATGAAATACTATGAAATTAAACATCTAACATGTAACAACCTACACATACTAATAAACTTTCTGAGAAATGATTTTTCTGAAACTGTTTCCTGAATAAAAGAAGTTTGTATTATGATGGTAAATATTTACTTTTAAGTATGAAAATATTTTATTGATTGTAACACTGTCTTCACCAGTTTGCTTTTTAAATAAATATTCGTGGTAACTTTTAAACACTATTGTCTATATAGTATCGTGAACAGCTTTTATGAAGGTGACAATACAGAATGAATTTGAAATATATATGAGCTGGTAAATTAAATTAGCTGTAAAATTATTAACTTCACTTTCAAATGTGAATTAATTATTCTAGTATTTATTTTGTTATTTGCTCCTCATTAATAAATGATAACAAAGGACGGGGTATTTCGAACTCTGATTTTTTTCCCATGTCTTTAGAGGGAAGATATCTCAAAACATTTATTATCACTCACAATGGGTAGGGTAAACCTTATGGTCACCTTTCACTCGTTCTTTGGTAAAATTAGATCATTTCTGAAGGAAATATGATCTGTTGATCAATTCTTTAGCGTGAGCTTTTCTTTAATAATTCAATGGTCAGCTACAAGATTCACAACCTTTTGTAAACTGTTACTATCTTAAGTCACTGAATTATTCCATATTCTTTTCATGTTGATAAACAAATTCTTGATTTTGTCCTGGCTCTAACGCTGTGAGCCAAACTATTCCAACCGTATTACGTTTGTGATTGACACAAGTAGAAGTATTTGAGCGTGTTCTATCAAGGTGGGCTTTTGGTTTATTAATTACAGTAACAAAATACACACAATGGAATTAGCCATAATAAAATATCGGTCAGTTTCACTTTTTAAACCCTGGACGTTGAGTTATGTTCATTTGTTCTGAGAAATTATATTTAGTTAATGCTATTGATCCTTATGATTATCTTTGTATTGAAATCATAAGACATATCCTTCAGAGTAAAAAATATATATTTTGCAACCATTTTTACTGATTAACATTCACAGCTAACAATAAAAGACTGAATAATCAGTTGAAATAGGCGTGTGACATGTCTACTGAAGATATTGTATATCTTCTTTGTGAACTCCAAAACTCGACGATATATCCCGTACTAGCAAATGAAGGGTTTTACAAAATGTCTTAACATAGGAAATAAATAAATGCATTTTTGTAATTCTTCCTCACTATAACTTTTTTGGTCGTAATTAACTAGACTTTATTTATGCAGTTAATGCAGAAGTAAACTTAATGGTCTGGGATATGTAATGTTGAACATCTGAATCTCATCAACTTGATGTCCACAGTTGATCAAATGTGTAAACGGGAAACTCCTCTTCTCACTTATCCCTTTTTAGTTCAACCATGATAGGCGGTTCTCAGTAAATCAGCTCTCTAGTTATACCTCTTGTACTAATCTGTCTGTTTGCCTGCTTCAATAGAGCTAAATTCATTTAATTCGCTACTTAAGACGTCTACTTAAAACCTATATTTTTAATATTCATCAAAAGCAGACTATATTTTTTAGGATTGACCCAATTATTGTTGGATGCTAAACGATTTGATAATTTCTGTTTTATCATAATCATCAATAAAGACCTTAATGCTATGTATTTTCCCGAAGCTATCAAACTTACTGACCTAATGACGATATTCAACTGAATAGGGAAATTATAGCTCAATTAAAACTAATTAACAGACTCACATTCTTTGCTTCCAATGCTTTATTATGAATAACCTTTTAAAATGCTTTTTGCTGCATAGACATGGTGATTAAACGTCGGTATTTGTTATTAATAAAGTTATCTGACCTAACAATAGGTAAATGAAAGGTCATAATTTGTATATAAGTCAGTCTTAATTCTGAGTATTATTTATCACGCATAAACATATAACAGTAGAATTTTAACCACTCAAGATAACAGACTACTTCCATGTAACAAAAATGGAACTGACCAGTATAAGTCGAAATTAAATAAAATTAAGGCTAAATGGATTACCAAGTCCTATCAAACAGTATGTCATAAATAATCCATCAACAGTAAAAAAGCTTATTAACATTAGTGAACTATTCACTGGGTAGTCTTAAATATGCAGAGTCACTGAATTCTTTGTTCCAAACACATATTTAAGGACATATTTTACATGTACTAACCATATTTTTAAGTAATACATGCTAATTCAGAAGTCCGTGCTTTGGTGAACCTTTACAAACTAGGGAAAAAACGGTCGAACTCAGAGAGCACAACATATCCAAAACACCAGGTTATTTGTATATATCATTGTCAAGTGGCACAAATAGAACACATCACACCTTGACTTCATACCTCAAGGTTCAGAAATTTAGCAACAGTTTTGGCAGTCATCTGGTAACAGAAATTGAGTCACTTTATTCAAAACTCCATTCATTCATACCATTTGGCGAAGATACGGGTTTTTAGTTGAGAACTTATGAACTTGTTATCAATTTTAAAACCATCGCAACAACTAATAAAACAATCCGCTTCCACAGTTTGACATTCAATACGCCAGTCTCTCTGAACTTATAAAATATATGCCTAGAACGTGCGCAACCCGCATGATTAAATATTTTGAAATGTGACAACTTTCTGAGGTTAAGCTGAGGAGTTTCAAAATTAATAATTGGAAAACAATATCTGAATGGTTATAGCCACGAAAAAAAGTGAAACAAACTTCAAAGTCACGGCAAATATTCACTGAGAATTTGCTTATCAAAATTCAAACCACCTTCGTAAAAAAGCTGCTGAAAATACATCACTCCGTCAAGATTAAAATTTTATTGACATGATAGATAATTGCTTTTAACTTCAAACTTTTGATTTCATTTAAAATTAATGTTATAAACAACTGTCTTGGCTCCAAAAAAAATAAACATTCGTTTCAGATTTCAACTGGGTAACTATAATGTGATGTCTTATTTGTTCACATTTTCCCCAGCATCTGTCTTAAAACACTAAGACTTCGATAAACCTGGAGAACACTGTTGAATTTCAACATTGTCTTAAGCCTAAAACCTTGTTTTTTATAACCAGTATTCACGTAAAGCAAAATGACTTAAATATGAACACTTGGACAATTAATAGGAGATTACTGATGTGTGGAACATATATTACTCTTATCTAATTTTAACTTAAGGATGGCAACACCTTACTGTAATAGGCGCAAGACTATTATTTATGGAATAACCAATTAGATATAAAATAATGAGTCTCTATTTTTGGCGTGAAATTCATCCATGCACTTAGCTAAAGAGTTTTGGCACTATAGCTGATGTTAGTTCGTGATGAAAACTATAAATCTAATTTTTAACCCTAACCATCAACTGTCAATGAGAATTCTAACTGTACAGTACAAATCGTCAACCAAGAAAATATGTGGGAACATTTTTTGTGGTAACAAGCTGTATGCTGATAAATTCGCCTTTAGGTCGTATATCAGTGAGAACTTTGAAGGGAAACTCGATTTCTAACTCAAGCTCAATAGTACTGAGGCTGATTTATCTGTGTGTCTTTATCTGTCCACTCGCATTGCGTACCAACTCTACTGTTCGTAAAGAATAAGTACGTACCTATAAAAAAGAAAAATATCATAAGACACGATCCTCTTCAGACCTTAATAATAAGGGTAGTAGATCGGTGAATTTATGATAAACCTTGCGTCTTGATTTCAAGTAAAGATATCTTAGCCGAAAATGGCTTGATGTAGCCGAGTAGAAGACATCGCGCAAAACAGCCTTAACTCTGCTTTGTTGTCAAGTGAGGGAAATCAAAAACTATTCTTAAATTTAGAAAAACTTGGGAACCGTATATATGGTTTCAAACGTTGTGTAAAAATATCACGACCTTCAAGTTCAATAAAAACGAAAAATTCCAAAACATTGAAGAAAAACAATGTCTCACCGACGGTACGTAGTAATTCAACTTTCCTCAAGTCGAACTTCTTTTTATCAAAAGGAATACTTTTAACATCCTGATTTGTTTTGGAATCTACATTATTTTGGTTGTTTTTGTTGTTTTTATATAAAAAAAGCATTCTTCGAACTCTGGACGCCATAAAGTGCATCATCAACTGTTTTCCTTAATACTGAAAAAGTGCTGTTTGGACAATAAGCCATCAATCGAAAACTAAGTCCTTATTTTGAAAAAGTGCGTGACCATGAACGTGGACAAATTAATACGTAAAAACTAAGCCAAAAAATCCTAGACTCTTATTAATCTTCGCTTCAGTATTAAACCTTTGCATCATGTATCGAACTGAACTGGAGTTGTTTTAGTAAGGAGGTTGCTCTCAAATTAGTTAAATGACAACGAATTCTAGCTAAGGCATCTATCAACAAAAATTGTTCCTACCCGATTACGATGACCAGCAAACAGCCTAGAACGACGTAAGTCGAGTGGCTGCACCTGTAGGATTAACAGAACGTCACTCGATCGCAGCCAAATCATGCGGCAGTTCGGTCACAGAACATCAAACGGTTCACCGATCCTCGTCAAGGTCAAAGAGGACTGGCGAGCATCAGTCGATTCCACGTTATGAACTAGTTCATACGGTGGTGGCTACTTTCTGTTTTTTGTACCTACTCTTACTAATAGATTTGTGTGATAACGTCGTTTGTGTTGTACAGTCACCAAAGTAGCTATAGTACCTGAATACAATGAAATGGTAATCCACTGAAGTACTATCCGTGAGGCGTGATTTTGACATTGACTTGTCAGCCATACCGTTTCCATCTATTTGGAGCAATCCCTCAATCATTTGACGCGCATTGCAGACGTTTGTGGTCCATATACTCCCCTCATTAAGTTCTAGTCAGTTTACACATGTGAATAAGCTAAACATGCGGACGGTTGTCTAACATCCGACATTCCTTTTAAGAACATTAAACTGGTGGTGTGAGGAAAATTCCACATTTCTTACTCTTATTATTATGACTGTATTCCATACGCAAGATCTTAATCACAGTGTAGACGCAGACAACATAAATTATTGCTAGTGAAGAGAGATTTGTCAACCAACTGGGTGAGGGAGCATGTCCTTAAAAAGAAATCCTACAATTTCTTTTATAAATGAAAAGAGAATGAGTATATGGTTACTGCTAGGATCCGCTTATAGACTGTTATTATAAATATATATGTATTCTTATTGTATAACCATGAAGTAACTATATCATATGCACATTCTTATTCCTTTTATTATAAGCTCCTCAGCTTAGAACTCAACACAGAGAAATGCATCCGGCCATTTACTGGAGATACATCTGTCAGAAAAGTCTAACATTTAACGAGAACGTACAGCCCACACTCACGTCAATAAGTGAACTTGAGGTATATTATTCCCACAGTCAAAACTTCTCTGAACATATCTCCACTAGAGCATCTAAAGTGCTGAAATGGCTAGGCTTCATTCTTTGTAACTTCTTTCAAAATGGATCTAAAACCATTCTTTACAAGATACATATAATAACAATCGTTGAGTCCTGTTCGTTCCAATTTTTCAACTGACGCCAATTAATTATTCCAAATGAACTAGAGTTCTCACCCAAGGTGCACATATATACAACCTCTGAAATAACTTATCTACAGTTAAATTCCAAAAATACAAACCAACATCTCTAGGAAACTTCCTCCCCATCAAGTTCGCATTATTATGGAACTGTCTTCTCTTGGTTATACGCATGTTAGATGGATTATGTACTTTTGTAAGACTGCACCCTACTCATACATCATAGACGTTCTACATATCTAAAACATATAAGACTCTAAGTTTAATTTCCTTCGCTTTTCTTCATTGGAGTTGTACTAGAAAAATGAATTGTATGACGAAGTATGACGCATAGATATTTCGTGCGTCATTGTACCAATGTTCATGCTTCCTAATGGAAAATATATATCCTTTCTTAATTTTTACTTGAAATAGACAGATGACCCACTGGACCTACCGACACCGCTTAAATTAAGCCGATCCCAAAGTACGCTCACTATTGTCGTAAAGAATTGTCATGATAACCGTACAATCTTCCGCCGACTACCAATGATCTGGCATCTATGGAGCTTTTCACATATTAACTGGTTAGGGTAGCACAAAATACAATCAGCGTTAGGTTAATGAGTTTTTTCTTGTCCATTTTCCATCATATTTCTAATCACAAATTTCTTTTGTAGCACTTCTTGGGTTACTGCCAATCCAAAGCCCAGGTAAAGGAAGAGGGATAGGCATGGTGTCATCATCTTCATCCCGTAGAGATCAACACTCATAAAAAAAGCCAGGACATTTAAACTCCACTCTCTAAGTCGGAGAACCTTCATTCAGAAGAATTAAGGTACATTTCATGAAAGCCGAGATTATTTGGTAATTGCGAGACTGATCCCCATTTTGATATGCAAAGCAACAATTAACATAAATATATATAATATCTGTACAATGTGAGAAAAATGGAAGACAAGTCAAATAGCTGCAGAAATGAGAAAATACAACTCAGTGGTTCACATAATAAGTGAAACCAATTAGTCCCAAGCTGGATAGAAAGGATAGGCTTCGGAAGAGGTGCAGTTGAACTCTACTCACGAAGAAGAAAATGCACCGCGAACTCATCAGTTGATTCGAAGCTATCCCAAGAAGTGTGTAACTCACTTATAGGATGAAAGTCTCATTATCCAGAATCATCAAAACATACTTCAAAACAGAGGAGGGAATTACAGTAAATATTACACACTTCTGTGCACCCAACAATGATAACAACGATCACAATAAGGATCAATTTGATTAGAAACTTCCATCAATCAAGGTGAAGTGCCTAAGGAAAGATCTCACCATCCTGATGGGAGACCTAGACGCCAAAGTAGGAATGCAAAACACCGGATATGAATATAGCACGGGACGACATGGACTGAGAGAAAAGAACAACAATAGTGAAAGATTTGCAAATTTATATGCATTCAACAAATCGGTTATAGGTGGCACAAAATTCCCATATAAACACGTCAGATATTTGCCTACACAGACACAATCAAATTTTTTAATACATTTGTTCATTCTTCCTCATTGCTATCATGTCAGAAGTTTATTATCATTATATTGTAATTACTGTCATCCTGAAATAAGTATATATATTTGTGTCTGTACAGTTTTGAAGATGAATTCGCCGAAAAGAGAACTATTCGCTGAAACAATCCTTCTTACATGATATTCAACATTCACCCTCATTTCTGTCAGTACCTCACATTTACTTAATCAGACAAAACTCATTTACAAACTAACAAACTACATTAAATTACTGATTAGAAAGTATATCAAAAGTCATTTGATTTGTCAACTAACAATACATTAAATAATTTACTATTATTCTCTTGTTTTCTATTTACATTAGAATATAATTACTTATAAAATGTAGAAGTAATCTATTTATACGCAGTAAGCAGATAGGCGAAATCTCTCAACGGAATTCGTTATTGTATTCGCTGAAAATTAGCTTTCGATTCATTCTTCTAAATCTACTACATCATTGGGTTATTTCAGCGATTCTCATTTCAATTTCATCCACAGTATCTGCACGATCATATTTGTATTAGATAACCAATGTAATGAACACATTTTGTATGTTAGTATACTTAGTAACGATGAGTGAAATTTTATGGGCAGAAGTTCATTATTATGGATAAAATAGAATGAAATATGCATCATTACAGTGATTCGAAAATTTAGAATACACAAAAGACATGAGTGCAAGACGAAAGATCGTTGTGTGATGTTCAATTAGGTAAATCATGATCATTAGGAATGAAAACATGATTTGATTAAGGGTGAAGTACTAATGTAAATAAAATACACAGATGAAACTAATGGACTCTATTGAAAAATATTAAATGTATTGAGTTGAGAGAAATATGATAGAATATGATTTCCAAATGAAAAAAGTGGAAAATGTCGGGTTAATCAAAACTGAAAGAAAACATAGAAATATTAAGATAATGAAATCAATCACATAAATGATAAATGTAAACTTTGTTTCGAAATACACAATAACCTCTATATTTCATATCATTTAATGCTTATTATGTACATATATACTCATTTACAAACCTTTTTCATTACTTACTTACTTACTTACGCCTGATACTCCTAATGGAGCATAGGCCGCCGACCAGCATCCTCCAACCCACTCTGTCCTGGGCCTTCTTTTCTAGTTCCATCCTATTCCTGTTCATTTTTCTCATGTCTATCTCGATTTCCCGGCGTAATGTGTTCTCTGATATTCCTCTCCTCCTTCTGGCCTTGAGGATTCCATGTGAGGGCTTGTCTTGTGACGCAGTTGGATGCTTTCCTCAGTGTGTGTCCTATTCACTTTCAACGCTTCTTCCTGGTTTCATCCTCCGCTGGGATCTGGTTTGTTCTCTCCCACAGTACGTTGTTGCTGATAGTGTTCGGTCAACGGATCTGAGGTATTTTGTGTAGACAACTGTTAATAAACACCTGTATCTTTTGGATGATGGCATTCATAGTTCTCCAGGTTTCTGCCCCATACAGTAGAACTGTCTTGACATTTGTATTGAAAATCTTGACCTTAGTGTTGGCTGACAGTTGCTTTGAGCTCCAGACTCCGCCTGGAGTCCCTCCGAGGGCTACTGCCGGTCCCAAGCCCGGATAAAGGAGGAGGGCTGGGCATGGGGTTAGCGTCCCCATCTCGTCGAAAACTAACTCACTAAAAAAACGCCAACCAGAAAAAAATTATTCAAACCTTGTTCATAGCATCCATTATTTTGATAATAATACGATTATAATATTTTTGAAAATTGGACTGTTGAAATAAAGTCTGTTCCCAAAACATATGTTTGACAAGTAGATGTTTTATATTTATTTATTATTTAATTTGACCACAAATTCTGTTTCAAAAAAGCATCAAGTTCATATGCGCCAAGCAATAATTGTGTGAATTTGAATAGATATAGTGTAGAATGCGTACAAGGACAAACATTATTTAGTGTGAGAATGAAATAATAATAGTGGAAGAGGTAGTTCGATTAGCAAAATACAAC